AGCCCTGCAGCTGGAGGCTGTTGGAGCCCTTCCCCTCCCGATTGCACCTGCTCCGACAGAGCTGAGAGAGCCCGGGCCCAGCTGGTGCTGTCCGTCCATAGCTGAAGGGCTGCGGCCCAGGTGCCCGGAGCTGCTGGGAGAGTCCCAGGTGCTTCCGCTCCCTCCTCAAGGGTCTTGTCAGCTCTCCTCCTGGGAGCGAGATGGTGAGCCCATGAGTGCTCTCGAAAATAAAGGCAAAAATGAGGACGCCTGGAGAGGGAGACAGACGCTGGATCTGCGGATGCGCAAGGAGAGCAGCGCTGTGTGCCCAGGTGAGCAGCGGACCTGCCCTCACACACCTGCAGCCGATCCTCCTCTCCCGGGTGAGTGTTACCACGGCTTCAACACCACCTCTCCCCCTCCCTGGGAAAAATGAGTCCCTGGCCCCAAGGTCACCGCTGGGCAGCAATCTCAGGTCACAGGCAGGGGGGCCTGGGCCTGGCCACCTGCCCACCGGGCGCTTCCCGGGCGCCCAGGCTGCTGTGTCCCGCCCGGACTGAGGGCCTGCTTCAGGCCTCCCATCACCTCCGGGGAAGCCCTGTGTTCTTCCGGGGAAGCAGCCACTGTCTATGGTAAAAAGACCCAGTTTTTGCCACTCAAACGTCTGTACAGCGTGGTCCCGAGCTACCCAGGAACCCCCTGCCCTGCAGGAGCCCAGGCGCCAGCCTCCTCTGCTCCCAGACTCACCACTCACGGTCAGGACTGGCCTTCCCTTCCTCCTCCTCTTCGTCCCCCAATTCATCTCCTATTGAAACCGTGTTCTTCTCAGGGGAGATTCCCTGCTCTTGGCTCTCATCACACTTCCATCCAAACTAGCTCTGTTCAGAGAGAAATGAAACACACGCCGCATGCATGTAAGCGTTCTAGTTCCCACGTGAAAAAAGGAAAAGGTGAAATTAATTTTTAAAACTCTTTATTGTTGAAAGCATTGCATGTGTCCCCTTCCCTCCCCCATCAACCTCTCCCAGCCGCTCCCATCCCCGCCCCAGGCCTTCACCACCCGATTGTCTGTGTCCTCGGGTTGTGCATGTACTAGCATGCACACAAGGCCATTGGTTGACCCCTTCCCACTCACCCTTCCCCGGCTTCCCTCTGAGGTTCGAGGCTTTAATGTCTCTGGATCTATTTTTGTTCATCAGTTTATGCTGCTCATTAGATTCCACAGGTGAGTGAGATCATGTGGTATTTATCTTTCTCCGACTGGCTTATTTCGTTCAGCATAATGCTCTCCAGGTCCCTCCAGGCTGTTGCAAATGTAAGAGTTCTTTCTTTTTTATAGCTGGGTAGGATTCCATTGTGTAGATGTACCACAGTTTTTAATCCATTCATCTTAAAATTAATTTTTGTGCTGTAGATAACCCAATTCCTACAGAATGTTAACCTTTCAGTCTATAATCCATATAAAAATTATTGAGACACTGTCATTCCTGACTTCATCCTAAATCTCTGAGGTCTGGTGGGTAGCTGCACTTTCAGGACATCTGGTTGGACCATGGCCACACGTGGCTGGTGGCTGCCCCACAGGACAGCACGGGCCCAGGCCACTCACCCAGCGCTTTCCACATCCTGCCTGGGCGACAGTCATGCTGGCTTT